TAGAAGACTTTAGGCCCCCGTCCTCTTTCAGCGTCCTAGCTAAGGATATTCACTGTTTGTATCTTTAAAATTTCTAAAACAGTAATAAAACTGGGATTTAGAAGGGCTGCCGGATATTAGAAATAGAAGAACAGAAGAATTTCACTTGAATGTCATGTGTTTGAAGACATTTTAAGAGGCAGTCTGTGTTTCATCCCCTAGCTGTATACACAGACCGAACAGAACATCAATGAGTTAAGAGCTCTCTGGTAAGGCCGAGCATTTTAAACCTAGATAAAACAACGGTCGAGCAGGCTATCTGAAATATCCCTGTGCGGTATTAAACTGGACATATATAGTACCCAATAACGTTTTTTTTTAAAACCATCTGCCCCTGTGATAGCCCTGTGCCATAAACACAAACAACGTTAACTGGTACAGAAAAGAGCATGAATCATCAGTGCAGCACCCAATCCTGCTATTTACTAAAGAACAGGTAAAAAGAGTCCAGGGAGGAGATGAAAAGTGGAAAAAAAAAAGCGAACGAGGGAAGAAAGACGAGGAAGTCAATGTTATTCAACAAAAAATCAAATTTTCTGCGTACCCTGAGAGGAAGGTAGAAGTTCTTGGGATCAAAAAAAAAAAAATACCCAAAAAAACCTTAGGTTTCGTTCCCAAACAAACGTATACACTTTTGGGTGCCGATTTAGACTTCAACAGATTTAATTTGCAATTTTTCACCCCCATTAAAGTCAATTTCACAAAATTTAGCGATTTTTACGTTTCTTCAAATCAGCGGAGCCCGTTCCCGACTTTCAAATATCTACGCTGTATTACCGATGTTATTATAAATTTTCTGCGTACGTTGAGAGGGGGCAGAAGTTCTTGGGATCAACAAAATATCAAAAAAAAAAAAACCTTAGGTCTCGTTCCTAAACAAATGTATATACTTCTGAGTGCCGATTTAGACTCCAGTACATTCAATCTGCAGCTTTTCACCCTCATTAAGGCCAATTTCACATAATTTAACGATTTTTGCGTTTCTTCAAATCCAGTGGAACCCGTTCCCGGCTTTCGAATATCTATGCTGTATTAAGTAATACAAAAAATAAAAAAATAAAATCGAATTGCCGAGCGCATACCTTAGCATCGATATCGCCAACATCGATTCCGCCTCGTTCGTAAAAAAGGATGATGTCGTGTTCACGTCGACTGTAGATTGCAATGTACATTTCATCGGTATCCGAATGCTCACAAAATGGCTCCACAATGAAATTATGCAAGCGTCCAGTTGCTTTGCCAATCTTCAAAAAAAACATCGTTGATGCTACTATACAGGGTTTATTCGTTGCATGTAACAAGACTTGGTAGGTCATGGTTTTCACTAGTCGATGCTTGGTACTAAAGAACATGTAAAGAGAGCCTGAGGGGATGAAAAGCGAAAAAACGAATGAAGGAGGATGAGGTTATCAAAGTTATTCGTGGGAATCAGCAAGAGTATCGGGAAACTATTCGATGTTGGGACTCAAAGTTTTTGGTGTTATTAGAATGCGAATAAAAAATATATCCAATAAACCCAATTTTATAAATATCAATAAACACAAATCAAATGATAAAACTCCTAATCCTGCCAAATAAGGATAAAATAGCTATAAGCCATTTTATGACATTTACGCCTATGGCTATTCCAGATTTTTGAACCTTAACAATACCTAAAACAGCTATTAAATCATAATCTGAATCTCTATCCGTGCAGCTGGCAACTTTTCCATCGATTATCCCCTGTGCTGTGAATAAAAATGAAGGAAAATCAAGCATAAAACTAGGTATCAGCTGATGAATTCATTCTTTACATACTGACACACGAAATCGCAAAAAAACATCACGCTCAAACAGTTTTAAGAGCAAAAACCTAGCGTAATTGTTAAAAAAAAGCACTAAAAAAACCCCCGAAATATGAGCTAAAAATGACCAAACGGAACCAGGATAACTCAGAAAGCAAACTTTTTTACTGATTCTTTACATATTGCCACACGAAATCGCGGTAAAACATCACGCCCAAACAGTTTTAAGAGCAAAAACCTAGCGTAATTGTAAAAAAAGCATCAAAAAAAACCCCGAAATA